AGCTCTTCAAAAAACCTATGCCCCCCTAAGCCCCAACTTATTTAAATGATTTAACTTGTCATGCTTTAGTCAATGCAATTATATTAAGATCAGCTCAAAAGATCTGAGATATGGGTTGTTTCAGGTCTAGCAAATATACTTAGCAAACTAAATGCCTTGCAAAGTTCATAGATGAGCTAGAATTGCTTTGCAACATTGTTGTGCTTTGATACAACAAGCAAAGTGTCCAGTTCTTGTCAAGTTGTGATCCTATGAGAGAAGCTGATAGCAAATTGTAGCTGTTATGAACAGGAGCCAGCAGTGCAAGGGCTGGGATAGTTCCTGACAAAAGACCCTACCCAATGCACGTCTGTTGAGTCCCCAAGTCCTACCACAAGTCAAAGCTATCTGGAATTTAAAGGGGCAGAGCCCTAGCTTGGAGCAGCAAACTGTTGTCAGATGGCCTCCAGCTCTCTGTTGGGAGTCTATGTGAGGAGCCTGTAGTGGCGTGCCTTTGGTGATGGTTCCTCTGTTGTGGAATCTGAACCTGTGGCCTCCCGGGAAGGAGTGAAGCATCAGATCTTCCTGCAAATGGCTCAAATGACAGCTTTACCCGGGCATCGAGCCAGTTCAAAGTCCCTGAAACTTTTAGTGATTTATTCGTAAAGAACCCATGAAGCTGCATTATACTGAGTCCACCCATTGGCCTTTCAAGGTCAGTACTGTCTACTCTGACTGGCAGCAGCCCTCCAGAGTCTCTGGAAGATATCTTTCATACCACCTACCACCTGATCGTTTTAATTGGAGATGCTTGGGAACCTTATGAATGTAAAGCAGATGCTCTACCACTGAGCCACGGTCCTTCCCAAATCAGTCCTGTGCAGCCTCAGGCTCATCCTCCCAAGCATTTGGGAAATGAGAACATGACATCTAGTACTCTATGGAAACCTATTCTTTGACTTGCCTGGACCTGGGTGGCTCAAGCTAGCCCAGTCTCAGAAGCGAAGCAGGGTTGGTCCTGGTCAGTATTTGGGGTTGCCATAGTTCAGCTGCAACTTCACAGCAGAATAACAATAATTATAATAATTCCGTTGTCTCCTTAAGACCAAAGAAACCTGAACAAAGGTGAAACTGATGTGACCTGGGTGGCTCACGCTAGCCCAGTCTCAGAAGCGAAGCAGGGTTGGTCCTGGTCAGTATTTGGATGGGATTCCACCAAGGAATACTGGGGTCGCCGTGCAGAGGCAGGCAATGGCAGATCACTTCTGGCTTTGGAAACCCTACGGGGTTGCCATAGTTCAGCTGCAACGTCACAGCGAAATAACAATAATTATAATAATTCCTTGTCTCCTTAAGACCAAGAAACCTGAACAAAGGTGAAACTGATGTGAGCAGCACTAAAATCAATTCGATTTCAGAGGAGGCCATCCGCTTTGCAACCGTATGTCTCCCACTCAAACTGAGAGAGTGAATAGCTCTACAAGCGCTGGCTGAGCCCCACCGAACTCCGTCCTGAACCAGGATGGGGACAGCAGGTTGCATATTCAGTTGCTGCCGCCTTGCTCTCAGTGACGGATGAACAAAGCGATCCATGTAACAGAGATAATTAACTCCGGCATCCCCTAATAATTATCTGGAGGCCATGCTGGCTCATCTGATATGCTCGCTGGATCACCAGAGTAGATATAAGATTCCCAGAGGGAGGCGGTGGCCCCATATCATTCCCCAGGTTATTGACTTCCTTCCCAAGTGGAAATCTGTGAGCTGGTTCCCCTAATGGGCTCCTTATAACCTCTGAAAACTATTCCTTCGAGGAGTGATGGGGGAGGCATTTTCTCAAACGCCACTTGTAAGCATCTCTGGCTGTCTGCGTGTCCTAATACATGTTTATTTCTTTCAAATTATGCATTGACTCTGTTTCCATCTTGAGGCCTGTTCTTAGGCTAGAGCAGCTACGGTAGGAGATCCTCGGCTTGTCTGAGTTTGTGGGACAGACAAGTTGAGACCCCAGAGTCTGTCACAGCGCCTTTGCTGAAGTGGAGCAGGTCTAGGGAGTGGTCACACCTGAATGGGAGAACTCATGAGGCACCTGTGTGCACCACCTTGATTTCCATGCAGAAAGAAGGGTGGGATTCAAATCTACCATTAGTCATTATGTTTTTGCTAAGATTGTTTTTGCCCTGACCTGGATGGTCCAGGCTAGCTCAGTCTGGGTCAGATCTTGGACGCTAAGCAGAGTCAGCCTTGGTTAGTATTTGGATGGGAGACCTACAAGGAATGCCACAGGTGCTATGAAGAGGCAGGCTATGGCAAACCACCTCTGTTGGTCTCCTGCCTTGAAAACCCCATGAGGGGTTGCCATAAGTCAGCTGTGACTTGAGGGCACTTTATACACACACAAGGCTGTTACCCTGTTACAAAATCTTATGACCATCTATTAAATCTACATGCAGGGCTATTTTTGGGCAGGAACGCACAAGAACGGAGTTCCGGCCGGCTTCCACGTTGGCCACGCCCAGCAGGAACTCATTAGCATAATAGGCCACACCCAACAGCAGAAACTAATTAGGATTGGCTACATTAGGGGTGTGTGGCCTAACATGCAAAGGAGTTCCTGCTACAAAAAAGGCCCTGGGTTTTGATAACAAACAAAGTAAACAGAATAAGAAGAAAAAGGTGGGTGTGGCTGGATGAGCACACTTCTGGTAACATTGGGGTGTGACCTATAATGGCCATAAGCTGTGCTGTCAGGGGTGTGGCCTAATATGCTAATAAGTTTCTGCTGCTGGGTGTCGCCTATTATGCTAATGAGTTCCTGCTGGGCTTTTTCCACAAAAAAAGCCCTGTCTACATGTATTTGCATATGAACAATATCTCCCCAGGAGAGTGCTGAGATCAGCTGATAACAACTTACTGGTGATCCCCGGCCCTAGGGAAGTCCGGCTGTCATCAACTAAGGCCAGGACCTTTTCAGTCCTGGCCCCGACCTGGTGGAACTCTCTGCCAGACAACATCAGGGCCCTGCGGGATCTTATACAATTCTGCAGGGCCTGTAAGGCAGAGATGTTCTGCCAGGCTTTTAGCTGAGGGCAGCAATAGTTAAGACTGGCACCGTCCTTTTTCTCCCTATGGCTCCCGTGTCCCCCTCCCTGCCCCGCTGACTGGAGAGCACTGCAGCTGGCAAAAAAAAGAAACTGATCGCCATCTGAACTGGTCGTTTTATTAGTGTATGGTGATAATTTTATTATGTTGGTTGTATTTTATCTGTTTTTAAGGCTGTAAATCACCCAGAGCCCACTTTCGTGGTTGGGCAATACATCAATTGAATAAGTAGTGGTAGTAGTAGTGGTAGTGGTAGTAGTAATTATTATTATTGTTATTATTATTATTGAAGGGGGAAACGTCCTTTTTGTTGGAAATGTATGTCACAGCAGGCATCATTTCAGGAGAGGCATTCTTTTCTCTGTGTTAGAGAGGAGGAGGGCTCTTCCGAGATGATGCTTGCCCTGCGTGACTTTCATATGTCTGTGGTGGGTTCATTTTTTTCCAGAATCTGTTAACATTTGTTATCGTCCCCAATTAACTGAGGGTTCCCTTTTCAATCAATTAAAAAGATTTCATCGGTACTCTAACCAGTCATTCAAACAAGGATTAGTAGCCCCAGTTCATATGAAATACCCACGTGTGTTGCCATAGAACAATGCTCCAAAAAAATGAAGTCTATCCGGCAGATGAATCGCTCAGATTGCATTCTGCCCGTGTCCACGCGTGAGCCTTTTCACTCACTGTCCATATAGTATGAAATGGATTACCTGAGGCAGTTCAGAAAGCACCATCACTGATTGGTGGTTGTTTTTTACGGCCTACTTTCCAGCAGGCTTTCTCATACAGGGCAGATTTTAAGCTGCCAAGTTTATTGCCTTCTGTTGACAGGCGATCAGTTGGAGGTTGCTTTCTTTGCAAGCTTTGTGGGGGCTTGTGGATCAGTACTGTATTTGATGCAAATGTATGTCACAGCAGGCATCATTTCAGGAGAGGTATTCCTTTCTCTGTGTTAGAGAGGAGGAGGGACGGCTCTTCTTGCCCTGCGTGACTTTCATAAGTCTGTGGGTTCGTTTTTTTCAGAATTTGTTAACATTTTTTATTGTCCCCAATTAACTGGGGCTGTGGTGGCTCAAGTGGTTAAGACGCTGAACTGCAGACTGGAAGGTCGATCCTTCAGCAGTTTGAGACCCGAGTGCCGCAGGACGGAGTGAGCTCCCGTCTCTAGCCCCAGCTCCTGCCAACCTAGCAGTTTGAAAGCAAGATATTGCAGGTAGTTAAATAGGTAACACTTTGGTGGGCAGGTAACAGCGTTCCGTGCACCTTGGCGTCTAGTCATGCCAGCCACATGACCATGGAAACGTCTTCGGACAGCGCTGGCTCTTTGGCCTTGGAAACGGAGATGAGCACCGCATCCCTAGAGTCAGATTCGACTGGCTTTCGAGCAAGGGAAACCTTTGCCTTTACCTTACTGTATTTGAACTGTTTTAACTGCAAATCTGTATTATTGTTGGCATATATGTTGGTACCTGCCCTGAGCCTACATTGTGGGGAGGGCGGGATGTAAGTCAAATAAATAAATAAATAAGGCCCATGGTTCCATTGGGTAAGCCACCTTGGGCTAAACAGAAAAGGTAGGATATGAATATTTTTAAATTTTAAAAAAACGAAGATACAACTTTTAAAACTATTGGTGTAAACACGGGTTTATTTAAAAAGTGGCTATAATTAATAGTCTTTTACTAATTAACAAGTCAGTCACACTGCTTCCATGCAACACTTCACTAAATAAACCTTTATTGCCTGCCATAACTAACAGTGCTAGCCTAAGCAGAGCTGTTCGCTTCTACGCCTGCTGCAGTGAATGGGCTTAGAAAGTTATAAAATGCTTAAAACGACACTGCAAATGGCTTGCAATGTGTTTATCTGTATTGCATCCCTGACTCCCTTTCACTGTTGGTGGTGTCCATTATTTCCAGGGGATGGACAGGTGGACTTTGAGGAGTTTGTGACGTTACTTGGCCCCAAGCTTTCCGCTTCCGGCATCCCTGAGAAGTTCCATGGCACTGACTTTGACACTGTGTTCTGGAAGGTAAGGAGGCACCAGTCCCTTCTCCAGCAATCTAAAGGTCTTGCTGTCCTCTAGGTTTTGCAGCGAGAGCCAGATTGGTGTAGTGGTTAAGAGCACGGACTCTAATCTGGGAGAACTGGGTGTGATTCCCCACTCCTCCACATGCAGCTGCTGGTGTGACCTTGGGTCAGTCTTAAGTTTTCTCAGAGCTGTTCTCTCAAGGGTAGTTCTCGAAAGAGCTCTCTCAGCCCCACCTACCTCACAGGGTGTCTGTTGTGGGGAGGGGAAGGGAAAGGGATTAAGCCGCTCTGAGACTCCTTTGGGTAGTGAAGGGCGGGGTATAAATCCAATCTCCTCTACTCCTCTTCTCAGTGGGTTTGTACGGGCACTGTTTGGGAAGGGGGGAGCAATTGTTCCTCCACCCTACGTTTTCCACTAGGTATGATCATTCCTCAAACGTGTCTATATTTCTGTCCACAAGCTTACTGGTTCTAGTCTGTGACTATTGTTGCAAACAATTAAATGGACTTAGGCACATGGTACACAACAAAAGGATACTGCTGTCATCCTTCTGGTCTTAGTAACTTCTAGATTGGACGGCTGCAATGTGGTCACATGAGACTACTCTTGAAGATTCTTCCAAAACCTTGGTGGATCAAAATGGTATTCTGAGAATAAGGAGGAATAATTTCACTTTGCCCTCTGAGAATTATACTATCTACAAGAAGGTGAACCCGCGATACTCGCCGGGGGGAGCTCCACGTGGAGGAGAAGGAAGCAGCCGCAGGAGAGCCTTCTCCCCCGCCCCCCCCCCCCCCAGTGGCAGTGGCGGCGGCAAGGCCTGAGTGCCTCTCAGCCGCCCCGCCCACCAAGCCTTCTCCCTCCTCCTCCCCCCTGGCACCAACAGCGAGGCCTGAGCTCAGTCCGCCAAGTCTTCTCTTTCCCCCTCCCCCCCCAGTGGCAGTGGCGGCGGCAAGGCCTGAGTGCCTCTCAGCCGCCCCGCCCACCAAGCCTTCTCCCTCCTCCTCCTCTCCAGCACTAGCAGTGAGGCCTGAGCTTGGCCTACCAAGCCTTCTCCTTCCCCTCTCCCCCCCCCGGCGGCAAGGCCTGAGTGGCTCACAGCCGCCAGCCTGCCAAGCCTTATCTCGCCCCCTCCTGCCCCAGCGGCAGTGGGACAGTTGCCAAGGCATTCTCTGCGCATGCGCAGGGAATGCTTTTGTACTTTTGGGGAGATTTAAATATCCCCGTATCCTTTTTTCAACTTTTTAGATTTTTCTGCACTTCTGGGGATTGCCCCAAATGTGCAGGGAAATCTCTTTGCCCCCTAGGTGCCCCCGATGTGCGGATTTAGATATCCGCACGCAGGGAGCACCTTGGCTATTAGATATATAGATTTATGTTTCTAGGCACAATGTAAGGTATGGTTTTTCACCTTTAAAGCTCTAAATCAGGGGTCTGCAACTTATGGATCTAAAACCAAATGTAGCTCAGTACAGAACTAAATATGGGTCTTAAAAAAGGAAAATCAAATCTTTAAGTTAAGTTATACTGGAGAGGTAGCTGGGTTGCTAAAGTAGCCAGTATGTGAATGGAATTGGTTATGGCAGGCAAGGATTTTAATGGGACTAAAGGTTCTCCTGAAAAGCAAATGGTAGAGATGAACAGTTGCCAGTAACCCAAGTGCAAACCATGCACAGATTTATGCCAGTGCACTAAAATAATCATGCAGGAGCTCTGGTGTTATATTTGTTAGTTATTGTGAGACCTTGTGGATACGACTTTCCTAATAAAAGATACACAACAACCAGCACTTGAGCTGCAGATATTTTATGGTATGCTAATGTACATGTCAATTATCAGTAATATTAAGCTACATAGTTTCAGTAATGCAAATGGACTCTTTGTTAATCTGTTGATCTGAATCTTGACGTTGCTTGGCTCTGATAATTAAGAAATGTTGCTGACCTTTGCCCTGAACAGTATGTTAGAATAAATATGGTCCATAATGAATTTTCTGAAAGAAATCTTTCTACTACTTAAGAGTCCATCTTGGAGGCCTGCAAGATTGGTATCCATCAAAAATGGGGCCGTTTTAGTGGCTGCTCTAAGATTATGGCAGTCACTCCGCAGGATGTTCAGTTGCCCTCTGCCTTTCCTTCTTTCTATGGGCAGATAAAGACTATACTGTTGTGCTGGGCCTTAAACGTTTGATAATATCTAAATTTTTTCAAGGTAAAATGGTTAAATTAATTCAATTTTAAATTAAAAGCACATCTAGAGGCTCCAATTAGCATCTGACTCAGAGCAGCATCTGGCTCCTTCCTGCCTGGCTCTCAAAACATTCAAGCTCTCCAGTCTTGGGAGGAAGAGCCAAAGAGAACACCAACTAGGAGCTGTCATTCAGCACCCACCAGCAGGGGATGGTATCTCGGGAATGGGCAGATGTGGAAGAGTGTAGTATTTAATATTGCATTTTAGAAATGCCAAATGGTTTTTTGAGGGCCTTATGTCCAGAAATCCACATATAAATCTAAAACATGTTAAGGGCTGGAATTTTTCTGCTTTCTGTTTCTTGGAGTTCACTGTGCTTCAGTTATGTTTTTATTGTTGTTGCTGTTTTCTACCTATGTTGTGAACCACCTTGGTCTAGAAATGGTGTACAGTAAAATAAAAGAGATATGGTTGCTGGAGGTACAAATGGAGGTAAAGGAACTAAGGGAGGTGGCTGAAGCAATAAAAGAATAACAGGTTGGCCACTGTGTGAGTCAGGATGTTGGACTAGGTGGACCAGTGGTCTGATCCAGCGAGGCTCTTCTCGCGTTCTTAAATCCCATCACTTTCAAAAAGAGGGTGACTGTTCAACGTGGTGAAAACACTGCAATAATGATATAGCCTATGACATTTCACAAATGAAAACGGGGACATGCTTGTTAAAACATTCCTATTCTCATGCTGAGAATTATTGCCCAAACTCTCCTTCCTCCAATTATGCTTCACTGAAGGCCTCCATCAGCTGGATTTATTTACCGATTGAAAAGCCAAAATTGGTTTGTTCTTCATGTTAAAGGTGTATTGTAAAAACATAATTGTTATGATTAAAGTGAACCTCGGCAACTGTAGCATGGGAAATGTCAGGCTATGCACCCATCAATGCCTTAGTGCTCATGCACAACTTTTGTTCTGCTATCACTTTTGGTCACACAGGCTTGCAGAGTTTTAAGAGTGGGACTGGGGGGGGGGAATAAGAAGCACCACAAACATATCAGTTTAACTTTTGGAGGGGGGGGGGAAACATGTCCTCTGTTTCTATCCTCTGGGAGAAAGCCATGAGTATTCCACACTACTTTCCCCCACATTCCACCTGTGTCTGTTTTTCTTTTTCTTCTGACAGAGAGATAAAAGGGAAATTGTAAGCAGCAGCCACAGTGCTGCACTTTGTGTCCCCAGTTGTGACTTCTGGACATTGATCCAAGTGCTGAGCTGCCAATTATGTACAGAGCTAAGTGACTATGAGCATGTGTGCCCTGGCTTAGTTGGATCCCTGTATAATGGCATCAAACCACCTAACCCACCCTGCATGGGCTCTTCCTCCTGTGTAGTGTGACATGCAAAAGCTGACGGTGGATGAGTTGAAGCGACTGCTTTACGACACCTTCTGTGAACACCTCTCCATGAAAGACATCGAGAACATCATTATGACTGAGGAGGAGAGCCACCTGGGGACCACAGAGGAATGTCCGGTGGATGTGGAAAGTAAGTGAGCCTTTGTTCAATCTCACTGGATTCAAAAGAGTGAGACCGGAATGTTGGGTGTATTCTCACTGGCCCCTTGACAGCTGCCCAGAAAAAGTTAATATGGCCTAAGGAAATTTTAGGCAGGATCCATCCCTATATTTACAAAACAACCACTAAGATGTGGAGATGGTATGCTCTTGGTAAAGCCAGACCCCCAAAAGGGCAAATTATATACTCATGCCAAACAGGGACCTCCCAGCAGGCACACAGTGGTTATTTATTTGTTCAGAATTGTTTTATGCCACATCTTCAGGAAACCTGCCCAAGGTGGGTCACAAAAGAAAGATAAATCGTTTACCCAATTAACAAACAAAACAAACAAAGAAACATGCAGAATGGTTGGGTTTAAGGCTTGACGGCACCAAAACAAATCCATGGAGAGATGGGCGCCTACAGTCATGGAAGGAAGCATTCAGAGACAGTAGAAACTGGTGGGAAATGCTACACCATGAGGCAAAACACCAAGTTAGGCCTCTGCCTAGGAAGTTTAAATATCTTGGATTGGTCCTGATCCAATGAGTCTCTTCAGTGCATCATTGTTGGGTAAGGACCAGGGGCATGATCTAGCAGAAGTTACATTTACATCCTCGGAGACCAGGCTCAGAGCGGGTTAACCTCATTTGTTAAAAACATTCAATTCAAATGTTCAGTACATAATCACAATAAGTACCATAAAATAGAATAAAATACATAATAAATAGATATACAAATAATAAATGGCGTACAATCTCTTCTTGCCTTCTCCTTCTCTTCTCCTTATCTGTGTAAAACATTTGTACCCTGCCTTTTGACCTAAGTCCTTGAAATGGCTTGCAATAATATACCATCAAAATCTAACTATATCAGCTATGAAATTACATACAAACTCTAAAATATATTGATAAAAACAAATAACAGAAGTAACATGTCTGGTTTACCAGTCTCTATCAAATACCCCTAAAAGCCTAGGCAGATTAAAAAAAATAAAATTCCCTGGTGCCTGAAAGCTGTTAACATGAGTGCAGATGGACTGATAAGGGAAGAAAGTTCCATAGACAGAAAACCACCACCATCCACTAGCTGATCCATTGTGGCCGCTTCTAAGGGCCATGTGAAGGGGGAAGGAAGGTATGTCTGCTTCGAAGGAACTGACTGCCTGTGAACTTGCAACAGACCCAGTTCGGTGCTGAGACAGGAACAGAAGCAGAAAAAGTATTTAGTTGTGGCCTGTCACCTGAAGAAGTGACAGTGGGGACAAATGTTGTGTTTCTTCCTTGCAAAAATGACCCTGGCCCTAGCACGGCCACAATGGCAACAAGAGCTTATTTGTTCCTACATCCTTGTTCTCTCTCTCTCACTCACTCTCTCTCTCTCTTTTACTGCTTAATTATGAAAGTGGCAGTTCTATTTAGGCTGCGGTTTACTTTGAATGTTAATGTCAGAGGAGGCCGCATGGGGCCAGGCAGAGAAAGTGCTGCTTGCTTGGTATTCCATGCTACTGAACGGGGGGGGGGGGGGGGGGGCTGGCAGTCTTGCATCTTTCACAGGCAGTGGACCCTGAGTGTCTTACAGAGGCCAGAAGCCACCCCTGGGTGAGCCACCATATCAGGCATAGCATAGGTGCTTGTCTGCCCAAGCATTCCGTGGCATCCCAGTTGGCTTCTCTTGCTAAAATGGTGTCTTTCAAAGTAGGAATCGTGTGGCATGAGCCCTGTGCACCAAAACTAAACGCTGTGCAAAAGTGACCCGAATTTCACACCAAAAAGTGTTGCATTCTGCAAAACAGTATTTATTGGGGAAATTAGTCTGATCTTATCTTGCATAATGTGTTGCGCATTTTCTTTCTTTATTAACAATAAGTGCCTTCAGCCATCCAATTTTCTACAGCTTTGTGTGGCTTATTCAAGTTTTTCAAACCATGGGTAGGAACATAAAAAAAGCGTTTGAAGACAGTGTCATTGACTACCTTTGACAGTTTAAGGGGGGGAACCTCCATGTTTACCAAACAGTAGCCGTCTCTGATAGGTTGCATATTGCATTGTTCAGATATCTCCGTTGTATATGGAAGGGGCTGTTCTGTGCTGAAGTGCCTTCCTAACTGAAGGTGCAGCCATCAGGATGGGTCTTCTGCAACTATTGACTCTACAGATTGGAAAATAGATCTATCATCTCTTTGCAGGCATTTAGTCCAAAGTTATATCACTGACTTCTTCTTTCTCTTTGTTTTTCACTTCATTTCACCCCACAAATCCCAAATCTCCTCCTAACACACATACCTGCATCTACCTTTCTACATCCCTCCTCAGCTTGCTCAAACCAGCAGATCAGGCAGACGTGTGTCCGGAAAAGCCTCATTTGTGCATTTGCCATCGCTTTCATCATCAGCGTCATGTTGATTGCCGCCAACCAGGTGCTGCGAAGTGGGATGAAGTAGCCTGGGCAGATGGATGGATGGACAGATGGACTTTCTTGAAGAACAAACAGAGAAAACAAACTATAAATATCTATAAATACCTATAGCCACGAGGGTCAGGGGTGGGGGAGGGGGAAATTGTAATTCCTCCATGGCAAAACTCCTGCACACGCCCATAAATTCACTTTCCCTTCCTCCTGTCTCCAAGGGGGTCCTCCCCCTTCCGGGAGGTACAGCTGTCTTCTCAGCAGATAGCATGGTTTCCCCCAGGGTGAGTCCAACTCAACCCAGCTGGGGGAGTCAACGGGATTCGCATGGTGGAATTTTAAAACTAAACTTTACGAGCATGTAAAAGTGCATGGAGATCTCCCCCCAAGTCCCCACCCAGCCCCACCCCACCTCTCAATTTGAGTGATGCAATACTGTGTGCTTTTATAATCGGATATTAGAATCCTACAAAATATATAAAAGATATATTATATATATATAATATATATATATTTATGATAAACCGAATAATCAGTTAAGCAATACACACGCGTCGGGATTTTCTATCCAAGATTCGGGCGTTGCATGGACATCAACACAACAAGGGCTGGACACAAATCACTCGCTGTTTGTATCGTCATCCGACCTCCTCTTTGCAGGCTCTCTCTGGCATCTATGCACTTTTTCTCACCCGTCCAGAAGGGACGGGCTTATTAGAGCCTGCTTTATGTGGATGTGGGGTTGTACGGACGGAAGGCACCGGGAAAGGGTGGATTGCCTGCAGAAGGCACTCCTTATGTGCGCTCTTAGTGGCTGTTCGCATCACCACTGGAAACCTTGCATGTGAATATTCCAAGGCAGGCCACTGTGGGTGCAGAGAAATTCCTCTCCTCCTCAAGGGGACGCTGGGCCATGATGTTCCAGGAGACAAAAGAAACTCCATCTTCTTTGTGCCCTGTACCATCGTCCTCATAATGTCACCATACTGTATATAAAGGTCAGAGGGCACCACTGAAATCATAGAGTCCACCATCTTTAAAAATGCAGATTTCCCTTCCACCAAGCTTAGTATCATGATTCTGGCTAGAGTGTCTCTTGGGGAACATTATCTTGTCTTGAGGTGGAGATTTTTGAGTGATGGAGAATTCATCCCTTTCCTGGGTAGCCTGTTCCAACGGTTAGCCATTTCCCCCGTTCTGTTTTTTTTAAAAAAAATACTGTGCCTTATTTCTAATTTGAATTTGCCCAGCGTTTAACTTGCAAGCTGTTGGTTCTTGTTATTCTATGGCTAGATCAAAGAGCCTTTTCCTATCCCCAGTCTTTCTTTCCATTGTTATACTCCATGGGTATGTTTTAAACGTTTTGAAAAGATCCTGCTCATGTCAGTGGGCTTCACTCCCTGCATGTCTTTTTCAAAATGTGGGGACTAGAGGGGGAAGCTGGTGGATCAAGTCTCATCAGAGAGGTATGCTCTGTTCTCGACCTCTGTTCACTCTTCCTCTGCTAATAACTCCTTTAGCCCTAGCACCGCATTAGGAGCTTTTGTGGTAGTTATTTTTTGCGTGCTTGACAGAATCGGTGTCCTCACATACAGATACGTTGCGTCAACATGGCCAGTGCAGAAGACTAGGCTGCCAGTCTGCTAACTGACCAAATGTGCTCATCAGCCATTCTTCTGCACAGAGCTAGATGGACATGTATATTAATTTAAACACGCATAAGTGCATCTAACCTTGGGTTGCTATCAGAAGATAGCTCTTTCCCCTCTTCCCTGGCAACCCCTGGAGTGCCAAAGAAAGTTGATGCTAGGAGGGGGACCTGCACAGACAAAAAGCCATGCCATTCAGACAGCTACAGGCAAGAGGCCCCACTGGCATAAGAGGTAGAGAGGGGCGATTTTGTCTGTTCCCCGTTCTCCCTCTTCAGTGCAGCCACCTGAGTTGCATGGCTTTTTGGCCACACAGGTCCTCTAACTCCTGGCATCACCTTTTTGGCACTCGTGGCTGGCTGCCGAAGGAAGGGGAAAGCAGGAAAGATCTGCCTCCATCAGCAGTTTCTGCTGGCAGTGTACAGGACCCAACCCATTATACTGAGTTGTTTTTCAACTCAAACAGTGAGGAAATATAATCTGGGTCTTTATCATTTGGTCAAATCTACACCACCAATTTATATTTTTTTTCATACCTACTTATCTGTCATGGCGTGCTTCTCCAAAAAGAGCCTGGGAATGGTGGTTTGGTTAGGATTTTGAGACTTCTTTTGGTAGAGGTCCCCACCCCCACCCCTCAAAGAACTATGGTTCCCTAAGGGGAGAGAATGGCAATTAAACCAGGTTAAGGGTGTAGAGTAGATATCTCTGGATTGCACTGCAGGTATCACTGAGAAGCGATCTTTGTGACTTATGCATGGCTTTATGGGCTGGAGAATGAATACCCAACACTCACTTCCTGCTATAACATTATCCACCCGCCTAAAGCCCACTTTTCTGTCCTTGCAAATTGCTTCCTACTCTTTTATGCCTGGGGCAGGGGAGAATCATATTACAGAATGGATGCTTTCACCAGAGGCAATTCAGAAGCATATCTAGATCAGCAATCCTTTGGGCTTTGTGTTGTCTTTCGCAGTCCCAGACCCATCCTCATGTTCCCTCTCCCCTACCCCTGCTCTCTCCTGATTCCCCTCCCGCCCCGTACGTGCTGGATGTGCACAGTTGCACACATACAGCCATGCAGCCCCCGAGAAATTTGATGATCAGAATCTCTACGTGAAAGAGGCTTGAGAAGGGGGCCTTGAACAAGCCGGGTTTAACTTTTGATGAAAGGAACTGGTTGGGTGAAATTAACAAATGGGCCAGGTGAATGATGCACATTCTTCAGTTTAAAAAGATGAAAACACCAAGGCTGCGGCCACACACACTAAAATAATCCCCCTTCCAGTGCACTTCCCAACTCGATTTCACTGTGGGAACTGGCAGAATCCAGTTGGAAAGTGCATTGAAAGTGGATTATTTAGTGTGTGTGACCACAGCCGTTATCTCTGATGAAGAAAGAGGAAAGACGAGTGAGAAGTTTATTAATTATTGATGTGAGTCTAAATCCAGGTGGGGCAGCTGTGTTGGTCTGAAGCAGCGGAACAAAGTTCGAATCCATGGGCACCTTCAAGACCAACAAAGTTTTATTCAAGGTATAAGCTTCCGTGTGCAAGCACACGGAAGCTTATACCTTGAATAAAACTTTGTTGGTCTTGAAGGTGCCCCTGGACTCGGATTTTCCTTATGTGAGTCTTGTTCATACGTTAATGTCCATATCCCGATGACTGCTGTATTAAAAAAACTTGCATGTGTCGATGGGCTACCTCTAGGATTGCCAGCCTCCAGTTGGGGCATAGAGATCTCCTGGAATTAAAATAGATCCCCAGGCAATAGAGGTCAGTTCCCCTGGAGGAAATGGCTGCTTTGGAGGATGGATTCTACGACGGTGAGGGGTCTGGAGACCAAGTCCTGTGAGGGAAGTTTGAAGGAGCCGGGTATGTTTAGCCTGGAGAGGAGAGGACAGAGAGGCGCTCTGATAACCATCTTCAGGTACTTGATGGGCTGTCATCTAGAGGATGGTACGGAGTTGTTGCCCCAGAAGGTTGGGCCAGAACCAACGGGTTGAAATTAAATCCGAAGAGTTTTCGGCTAAACATTAGGAAGAACTTCCTGACAGAGCTGTTCCCCAGTGGAACAGGCTTCCTTAGGAGGTGGTACACTCTCCCTCTCCTTCTTCGGAGGTTTTCAAACAGAGGCTAGATGGCCATCTGACAGCAATGCTGATTCTGTGAACTTGGGCAGATCATGAGAGGGAGGGCAGGAAGGGTTGCCTCAGTGCTTAGTCCTTGTGGCCCTCTCTTACATGCTCAGGAAAATGCTGATCGCCATGTTGGGGTCAGGAAGCAATTTCTCTCCAGGCCAGTTTGAATGGAGATCCTGAGGGGTTTTTTGTCATCTTCTGGTCACTGGGTGTGTGTGGGGGGAGGCATTTGTGAATTTCCTGCATTGTGCAGGGGGTGGACTAGATGACCCTGGAGATCCCTTCCAACTATGGTTCTATTATTATATGACATTGTATCCTGCTGAAGTCCCTCCCCTGCTCAAACCTGGCCATCCAGGTATTTCCCAACACAGAGCTGGCAACCCTGGCTACCACTGATATACTACCCAAACTGAACGCTCACATTGCCTCAGAGGCAATGATTTTCAATTAGGTCCATTCACACATTCGAGTGCTAATCAATAAGCAGACAATAAGGAAACATGCAGGAATTAGGGGACACGTGTGTATCTACCCTTGATGACCAGCAGCTAAGCTAGCCACACTTAAAAGCATGGCACTTCAGACATTATGAAAGTTCTCTTTCTGTCTGTGGTAGCTGTATCTGCGAAAACCCATTCATACGAACAGGCCCTCTTTGAATGGTGTTGCAGGCTGTAAGGGTAGATTCACACTTGTGTGAACGAACTTAGAACTGGTTGCTGAAAGTATGTACTTGAAGCATTTTGAAATTGAAGTGATTTTATATATATGCACACACTCACACACAAGCAGGGAGTATGAAAAGGGCCAGATTCTGGGACATGGTGTGGACTTCACTGAGCAGACCTTTCCCGCAGCAGTTTTCTTTTTTGGGGGGGGGGGATGCTGGTCTGAGTGCTCTTTTAGGCCCTCTTCCCATATTCCTTTTCAGCATGAGTAACCTACATCATCAGTTTCAGGAGGCAAATATGCCCCCACATGGCAACAGCTGGCATTTACCAATATCCTCTCTGCAAGTCGCCTCTCTGCAGTTGTTGAGAACATCCGCAGCAAAACTAAAATCACAAGATCTATTTGGGGATCATCGTGTCAGCGCTTCTCAAACTTAAAAAAAATAAAGTCAGCACAAATGCTCAGATCCAACAGGACCAGTGATCCAAATTCCCAAACCAGGTCCTGCATGCAAAAGCCCTGCTGCAGGGAAAGGAGGCAAAACTTGCACCCAGCAGTCACCATTTACTACA